GAACTTGTGATCCACCTGCCTCAGCCTCCCAGAGAGCTGAGATTATGAGGACATCTGACCTCAATTTGTTATTTTTAAAAAGCTTAAATAACTATCTTTAGGAAGATAATTTTTAGACAAAAAGTAGGTGCCCAGTCATTTGCTATACAAAGAGAGAAACCCAAAAAATAAGTGTTAAACTACTAATTTTTTAAAGATTTGCCCAAATGCTGCCAACACATTCCTTATCATTGGTGATATGGGTGCTCATTGTCAAGAGCTGGAAAGTTGATAAATATATGAAGCAAGTTCTTGTTCTTGCCTCTCTTACTGCCCTTGGCCTGGTGTCAGGCACTGGGCTTGACCCTGGGGATGCAGAAATGAAAGAGAGTCTTTCTGGTATGCATTTACAGCAGAATACAGTATGTCAAAGATTTGGGGTCCCTTTGAGTTGCACTGGAAAAGCTGAAGCAGGAGGGAAATGTGGTTTCCTTCCAGTGGCTTGGTGAGGGCACCGGGGCAGTTCACAGCTCCTCATCTGTCAACGCAGGGCCAGCCGTAATTCACCTGTCGCACCTGGTCTTGGTAGCAGAATCAAGGTGTACATTGGCCTCTTGGAATCTCATAGCTTTTCATGGCCTTGGAAAGGTGAAATTATTCTTTCCAATCATGCTGTCTGGGGAGTTGTTTGATTTTCCTGATTGAGTTCTTGGAAGCTACCTGCTTCCCTCTTCTTCAGGTGAAGTTTCAGCTTGAGATCACCTCCTAATTGTGTGTCATGTGCTTTGTGATACACATGGCTCTCCAGATCACCTTCGCTGTCCTTGACTGCAAATACAGGAGAACACGGGAATTTCAGATTGACAAGTTGAATGTAGGCACTGCCCAGGGATGGCACAACCAAAATGGACATGGTGTTTTCTTCTTTCCATTTGGTGGGAAGGAAAGAAAGAAAGAAAAGAAAGAAAGAAAGAAAGAAAGAAAGGAGAAAGAAAGAAAAGAAAGAAAGAAAGAAAGAAAGAAAGAAGAAAGAAAGAAAGAAAGATGGCAATGTAGTAAAGTGCTAAGGTTGGAGTAAGCATAGACTACAGTTAGAGAAGAGATAAAGGCAGCAGACCAGACAGGAATTCCTGGTGAGGTCTTCCTGGAGGTGGTGGCCCTTGGGTTTGACCTTGAAGGATGCGTGGGAGCTTCCTAAACAGTACAGGTGGCAGCAGCATGGGATGGAGCTGAAGTTTTCTCATCTGCAAAAGGCTGAAATGGTCCTCCCAGGCTTTTCCAATAAAGAGTTAATATGTGGAAGTTATCTGGTGTCTCTGAGGCCATATGATAAATGCCTGACCTGTTCATTTTAACCCCTTTGTCACTCTCCCCCACGGGTCCCACAGCCTGTGGTCCATCCTCAATGGTGCTACTTGGAACAGGGGTCTTGGGATTAATCAGTTTGTGAGGCGAGTGTTCCCAGGAGCCTAGAACTCCATAGGCAAAATGACCAGACGGCCACAGCTTCCTTGGATGTGAGAGTAACTTCTTCCCATGAGGACTGGAAACAAGCTAGCAGAAGCTCAAGAGAAACTCCTGGCAGACATTTTTCCAGGGGATATTTAGGTTCACACATAGTTCTGTTATCAGATGAGATGTGTCCGGGGAGTTGTTCCCAGGTTCTTGGTATCCTGAACAAAGAACCACACAGGACACCCAGGAGTAACAGAAGAATAAGTTTTATTAAAAGTGAAAGAAGGGAAAGTCCGCTCCACAGGGGGGGAGCGAGCTGGCCAAAAGAGCTCAGAGGCCCAACAGGGACAGGTACTGGGTCTCGCAAGATCCTGGGATTATGGGAGGATTCACATCTGGGGATTAACAGGAATCATAGCCCAGCAGAGTGCCTGACTCATCCCATCGTCTGGAGGAGTTTTTGACCATACAAGGCTTTTAGAGGAAATGTCATGGTGTCCAAAGCCCTCCACAGGGGGTGAGGGATCAAAACACAGTGTAATCAAGGTTGGGGTAACGTACTTTTGTGTGCATGTGCCTGGGAGTTTGGGGAGGACAGGTTTTCTGATATTTTGACATAGTCATCCTTGCTGGCTGGTTTTTGGATTCTTGTCCCACAGCTTTCTGTTTTTACTTGTCTTTGCCTCCTACCTCAGGTCTGACACTTCCTGCTCTCCCTCAGAATTTGAAGGAAGCAAATTGCTCCCTGCATCCTATTCTTAACACCCCGCTTAGCACCTACTGATGATAGCCATTCTAGTGTTTGTAATGAGAGTCAGGCACAAGGTTTACATCCTTAGTCCCGTATCTGCTGCTCACAGAGTCTGCCTCACAGTCAATACTTGAGGACTGGGCAGCATCTCCACCAGCCACGATCACAGACCAGATATCCTTTCCCTTTGTATCCACATGGGCAGTGTGGTGCCATGGATAAGCTTAGTGCAGCTATTCTGTACATGGTTTCTTTGTGTCTGTCCAGGCATGCGAGCTGCCCAAGAGACAGTGTATGATGCAGGGTGGGCTGCTGTTATGGTTTGTATCTAGATGTCCCCAAAGAGCCTCATGTGGTCATAGGCAGGGGTTTTGGAAGGGAATTAGACCATGGGGGCTAGCTGACCTGCTGTTAGGAGGTGAAGGCTGCTTGGAAGAGGCCGATCACTGGGGGCATGATTTGAAAGGGTGACTCTCCCTTCTGGGTTTTGTGCTTCACTCTGCTTCCTGACTGCCATGAGGTGAGCAGCTTTCCTCTGGCCAGGCCCTCCCGCCAGGCTACTAAACATGCAAAAACTGAAACTTCTAAAATGTGAACCAAAATCAACCTCTCCTCTAAGTTGCAGATCTCAGGTACTGTGTCCCAGCGATGAAGAAAGTGACTAAGACAGCTGCCCTGTTGTGTTTTCTAGACTCTGCTTTGCCAGTGGAAATCCTGAGGTTTATAACTCTGCTCTTTGAGAGACCATATTGCATGTACCCTCCTTCCCTTCCTCCCCCCCTCCTGTTTTTTCTCTATTCTATAGCCCCAAGCCCAACACTTGTTTCTTGTCTTCTCTGAGGGTCTGTCGCTATCTATGTCAACAGAGGCTGTTCCTTGAACAGCACAGGCGGTCTGATCCTCATATGGCACACACAGGTCCTCAAAGCCCCAGCTCTCCAGCACTTGTAGCAAGGCCTTCCTATCTAGCACCTGTGCCTGTCTGTGTTGATCTTGTCACCCAGTAGAAGTCCTTAGTCCTGGGGATGCCAAGCAGGTTCCTGTCACATGCCAACTCCAAGTGCATATGCTTGGAGACTGGGTTGGGGGTTTTGAGGGCTCAGGTTGTGTCTGAGTCCCATTACTAAAAATGCTGTGATTGATTAGCAATATCTGTCTATAGGCATACCACCCTGAATGCACCTGATCATCTGATTAGCAATGTCTTCCATGGCAAACATATGAGCACTGGAGGGAACCATTGCATGCTGGCCATGAGCTCAGGAGTTAAGGCATGTGTTCATTCCTTGCATTAGATGGCTTTTCTGTTGACCAGGCTGTGTGGTCATACTGGCCAGGTGGCTGAGGAGACAGTCTGAAGGCTTCAGAGCCATACATGGCTTCTCCAGCTCCTGGTTGGAACAGTGTGAGTCCTAAGCTAGAGGGAGCCTAGAGGGGTGGCCCACATAGGGTCTGGTGGGCTGTGCACTTTGCCAGCCACAATGGCATGATGTTTACCCCCGGAATCTGTCTCATCTGGGCAAAGGTAGCTAATTGCGTCAGAGCATCAGATGCAACTCAGGGGTAAAAATCTTTTTACATGGCACTCACTCAGAAATGACCTAAACCTCTGGAAACATTCAGAACTTTTCAGTCCAAACTGAGTAGGATTATCTTTGCTTCTACCAAGAAGCAAAATTGAGTGAAAAGAGTCTTACTTTAACCAGTGAGGGGATACAGTTTGAAAAAGCATGGTCTTAGCAGCATATGTAAAGGTGGTTGGAAAAGGATGCTTCTAGAAAATACAGAAGAGCCCAGGCATAACCTCAGCTTTGCCTTCTGCTTCCATTGCTGAGGACAGGATGTCACTTTGTGCAGCTGACTTTGGGGTTGTCATGGCGCCCTATGAGTGCCTTCAGGGGCCTGCTGCATACTCCACTCTCTACTTATGGGGTTTGAATGCTTCTTTTATCTCAACTTACTTCTTGGCTGCTGGGGAATGAGGGCCCAGCTGAGCTGAGAGAAGTGTTCCTAGATGACCATCTGTCCGAGGCTGCTGTTGTGCCCTAGAATCCCGTCCACAGGCTCTTGCAGCCACAGTATCACATCCTAGCTGGCAGAAGGGTTTCTGGAGCCCATCTGCACTGGCTTCCTGTGCTTCCTGAGCCTGTGGGACCCTAAAGCCATGCTGGGCCATTCTGTGTTGTCTTCCTTTAGTGCTTGTTAACCCTGGGCTGCAGACAGGGCCAGGACAAAAGCCTTACAGGCAAAAAAGCTTCCAAAGGGAAGAGATGCTAGGTGACAAAGCCCCTGCCTTCTCCATCATCTGGAATGGGAGGAACTGTGTTCTTTTCAACAACAAATCCCCAGCACCTGGCATATTAACATATTACCATAAAATGCATATGAGAGAATGCATTTTAGCCCTGTCCCAGTTTTCAAAGCAGTCTGAGTTAAGGGTGGGGAATTCTGGAGCAGCCCAGCGCCTGCTCACTCCACCCCCTACATGGAGATTTGGTAGGCTCACCTTCCCTGTCTGGCTGGCCCAGGCCATAGTCACCAGGCCCGGGACCTTGTGGGCAGTGCCCTTGTTGCACTTGCTGTAGAACCTCCTTTTAGAGTGGATTCCAGGTGGGGCCCCAAGGAACTAAACCATCAGTGCATGTTCCTGACCCAGAGCAGGCCCTCTCCCCTCCTTGTTCTTTGCTGCCTTCACCCTTCCAGCTCGCTGTGGGTGTGAACACCTGGACTTCACAGATGTGCAGAAGCAGAAGTAAAGCAGGCGGGGCGGGGGCCTCCCCCAGCTCCTGCCACCTCACCCTTCTTCTCCTTACAGGCTCCCCGGGTCACGCTGGCTCCACGTCCATGAGCCCGTCAGCAGCTTTGTCCACTGGGAAGCCCATGGACAGTCACCCCAGCTACACGAACACCCCAGTGAGCGCCCCACGAACACTGAGTGCGGTGGGGACACCCCTCAATGCCCTGGGTTCTCCGTATCGAGTCATCACTTCTGCCATGGGCCCGCCCTCAGGGGCACTGGCAGCGCCTCCAGGAATGAATCTGGTTGCACCACCTAGCTCTCAGGTAGGTGTTCCTCCTCTGCAGGATCCACTCAGCTGCCCTGGCTGGGGCAGGCACTTGCAGTGTGCTTGTGGAAGGGACTGGACGTCTCTGTAGACTGCCCTCCTATGGGGCCTTCAGGCTGAGCAGCCCAGGGAGACTGAGACCAAAGGCAGCTTCCTTAGTGGTTTTAATGGTCGAGCCCTGGCTGTGATCAGAGGATCCCTCAGGGGTGATTGCATCATCTACCTTCATCACAGTTTGCTGATGAGTATTGAGTGATGTTCACTCATTGCTCTCATTAAAGGGAACATGGAAACAGTCAGTACATAGTCTTGCTCTCCACCAGCTTTCAGCTGAGAGGGAAGTGGGCAGGTACAGCCCGTAGATAAATGTAGAGCAAGGCCACCCATGTTGTGCACATGTTGTCTTAGAGACTTAGAAGTTGGGGAGTTAACTTTACCTTAGTTCCCAGTGCATCCTGCTATGATGGAGGAAAAGAGATGTGTGCATAGCACATTGGATGGTGCCCCTGTGGAGCTCATAGGATGGACAGGTGTCTAGCAAAGCCACACTGAGGTCACCATCCTTCCCCTCTTGGAGAGATTGCACTGATAATGCTGCACTAAGATGACCCCCAAATAATTAAAAGATATGTTATATGTGTACCAGTCCCCAAGATGATTATAATTATTGTGTATTGCAAATGTATACCAATTAAAAATATATCATTTAAAAGTAAACTTTTGAATTTTATACGTTAAAAAATGACCCCCAAATCAACAAAGCTCACAAAAGCAAACCTTTGTCTTCCGGCTCCTGAGTCTATATTGAGCTGGGATGGCTGTGCTTCTGGTGGTGGGGGTTGGGCTCTGTGATGGCCCCACACAAATCAGTTCCTTGAGTCCACACTAAAGGAGCAGCAGCTACCGGGGAATGTTTTTTGTGTAGTGTCTCAGCGGAGTGCAAAAGGCCAAACCAAATCTAGAAACATAATGAAGCCTCTGCCCACATCATCATCTAAGAAAACCGTATGGCTGATTCCAGCATGGAGAGGAAGGGAAATAGGCCACGTCTGTTCTAGTGGGGGCACTACAGAGACCACCCAAAGGATGGGAGGCATTAGGAGCAGTGAAGAACTGGGAGCGATAATCTCTCCTATTGCGCGTTCCTCTCCCCCTATAGATCAGCCAGGGTCCCTGCTGCCCCCCACCCCCCAGCACACTCCAGGGCAGAACTGGCAGGTGTTTGTGCTGGTCAACTCGTGTGGGCCCCAGGATGTCCAGAACCCAGAGGCTGATCCCATCCCAGCAACAGAGCGCTCTCCTGGCCCAGGGCCTACAACCTGGGATGTCACTTTCCCTGAGCCTTACACTTGAACTGAAATAAAGGCTCTTCCTTCCTGGGTCTTGAGCCTGCTGCCCTCCCAACTACAGCACCAGCAGTCCTGAGGCTTCAGTTTTTCAACTCACCCACAGATCTTGGAACTTGTCAGCCTCCAAAAATTACAGTGATAATTCCTTATGATCCCTTCCCCAAGGAATCTGTTGCAGGAAGTGGTACTTTATGCCAGATTCACGGCATGCAGTGTTGTCATAGGTGTAGGCAGAGAGCCCAAGGGGAGCAGAGCAGGCCCTATGAGTTCCTGATCTTCTGTGCCCCTTGGGAGAGGAAGGCCAGGCAGAGGTGTGGGGACCAGGCTGTGTCGAGGTGCCCAGAGCACAGAGCTGTGATATTCCACCCTTCAGCATGTGTGAGGTTTGCTTACTGTCTCTCCTGTGAACAGATTCAGGAGGCAGGGTCAAAGCCAGCAGTTAGAAACAGAAAGATACCCTGTACTTCTGGAAAGCATGGTTTTTCAAAGGGCCCTGGCATTCATGTAAATAACAATGTGCGCCTACTGTGGCTAGGTCTGCCTGACACTGTCCTGAGTTTGGGGAACAAGCACAGAATAAGGTGCCCAGTGTCTTTACTCTGGTAGCAGCTGAAACAGACAAAAACATAAAGAATAAACAAGCTTGTTTCAAAGAGCAATTGGTCTGTCTAGGCAGAAATAAAACAAGGTGAGGGGAGAGAAACTGGCAAGGCTGGTGGGTAGGAAATGGACAAGTCACCATCACCCTGAGGCTGCTTTTGGCCACCATGCCTGAGTCCGATTGGCTGTAAATTCATCTTTGTAGCCGTGTGAGTGGCAGGGCCACTACTCCTAGACCATATGTCTGTACAGAGGGATCGGGGTTGAAAGGTCAGCTGAAGCTTTGGTCCTGGCCAACTGGGCTGTGCGCAGAGCCTGAGGCCAAGTTCAGCTTTGGGGAGCTATATTAAGCTTGCCAAGTGCTGGCAAAGCTCAGCAGCCTCCGACACTGAACAGTGTTCTGGGCTTGGGCTCCAGAACCGTACAGCAGCAGAGCTTTGCCCAATTAACTGGACGACCTGGAACAAAGGCCTGTGTTAGCCACACTGACTGGGGCTCTGAGGACTCTGGAGAGATTACTCCTATGCATTCTGCCTTCCTTGTCCTGGACGATCTGAGCAGGACTGGTGACAGAAACGTGCTTCTGCTGTGACTGTAAGTAGGGGTGTGTAGAGGGGAGGTGCTGGGTGTGGGGCAGCAGGCAGGCTGTACGACCCTGCGCTCTGTCATTCGGCTGTGTGAGCTTCTCCTTCTGCCCTTGTTGGCCTTTCAGTCTTGAGGAGTGAGGACAACTGAACTGGCGGTGGAGGCAGGGACCGTGTGACCTTTCGCAAACAACTCCAACTTGTTTCGGTTTGAGTGTCCTTTTCCCAATTGTGAGGTTACAAATACTTGCCCTGACTGCCCTAGGGCGATTTTTATGAATGTCAAAAGAGATGTGGATTTGAAAAGGCACTTCTGGAGGTGTGCAACTCTCTATGGCACTCAGGTGGTGTTATTATTGTCACGTCTACACCTAGGCAATCATTGGTTCACATGTGCTGTTACCAAAAGGATCCAGAGTAGCTCATTTCAGTACATGTTCATTGAACCAGGCCCAGTAGTAGGCAGCTGGAGATACACAAAATATATGTTTCAGTTCTTACCCTGGGGACAAGAAATTTCCAAAGACAACAAATATATGAGTAGGAAGATATTTATGCGCCTTTAGATAAAGTGACCTAGGCTACAGTTTTCAGAGTGTGTGTGCACACTCACGTATAATGCTGTGTATTCATCTGCTGCTGGCCTCTGAAAAGACCCTCTGAGCCTTTGGAGCTCTCCTACCTTTTCTCGCCTCTGGTCCCAGACCTGGGTTCTGTCCTTGCTGATTTCTGCTTAGGTATTTATGGATAACTGAATTAGTATCCCCTCAAATCTGCTTGCATTTTTATAGTTTAAACTTAGATAATAAAAATTACAAATATTAGAGCTGAGCTAGACCTTGAAATTGTCTAACCTGATGATTAAAAAAAATTAAACAAAGCCATAAAGTTATTTCTTCAAAGGAAAGCACATTTGAAAGCCCAGTGTATATGTCAAATATAGACAGGTTTGCTTGAATGAAGCTTCAGTCTCTCCATTTTCAGGACACACACAACACACACATTTTAGGTTTGTGAATCACTGATTTAAACAGAGATGAGAACTGAGAAAATGGCTCTGTTAAGTGAAGGAACCTGGTCAAGGTCACATAGCCAGGTCCAGACAGAGCCCAAGGTGGAAGTCCAGGTCTATGACCCCTTATGAGAAAGACCCTAACTAGACTGAAGAAGCTGCATCCGGAACGGGAGCACCCACCTGCCCCCTGGCCCCCTGTGAATGCCTTGGCATTCTGCAAGGGCTCCAGAGGCATCTAGAAAGCATTTGGTTCCCAGCTGAGTCTGCAGGAGGAGGATACAGCAGCCGGGTGGTTGCTGCTATCCTGTTCTGGGGAGCAGCTGGCCTGCTGGCAGGTCAGACCACCTGGTGAGTCCTGGCTCTAAAGTGTTTATTTCAGCGGAGCTGCTGCTAATGGAACAAGACAGCCACAGAGGAGGGCCGGCGGGTCCAGGGAGTTAATGGCTGTCTTTGATCTCCTCCGCCATTCCTCTGAGTCCCCACAAACCCCAAGGTGGCCAGAGAGATGGCAGAGGAAAGAATATCAACCCACTTCTCTCAACACTTTGTCCTACTGCGGTCCGGTCCGGACTCGGTGAAGAAGAGGTGTGTTGAAGAGGGGCTGGCCTCAGATTGAGGAGGTGGTCTCAACAGCAAGCCTGCTCCTCCTCCTCCAGGGATTCCTGGGCAGGGAGATGAGGCAGGAAGTTGCCAGGGCAGGGGAGGCCTGAGGATCTCCTGCCAGCCAGGACAGAGAATGCAGGGAAGGAGGAATGATGACCAGGACCTAGGAGCCTGGGATTCTAGCTCCACCCTTTATACCTGGCAAAGTTGCATGTACTAAGCTAATACCTGGGCAGGCATAATAGTCTTGGGTGTTACCTCCCATCTTTCCTCATGCCGCTTTCCTTATTCCTCGTGTACTTCACAGACCGGAATTTCAAGGCCCTTATTTCTCAAAACAGCTATGGTTCCTTTTTACCTCTCAAACTAAATCCATCCTCCCAGCCAGGTCACTGAGCCTCTAAGCTCTGCCACTGCCCACCCCTCAGCCTTATCTACAATCTGTCTACCAGGCACAATTACTCCACAATACCTTGGCTTCCTTGTGGCCTTTGCTTTTAAAGCCTTTTCCAGCTATGGCCCATCTAAAGCCCACCCATTTTTGAAAGTGAGTGGACCCAGATCAAATGCCAGTTCCTTCGGGAAGGCCTCTGATCTCAGCACTGTGTGACATGTCCTTCCTAAACCATCCCAGCTAATTTTAATCTAGTGGCCACTTCTTTGAGGCAGTGTCGGCAGCCCCTTCCTTTCTGTATCTTCATGGTGTTCTGAATGAACAAATGAGTAAACCAGTTTATGGCTCAATGTCCCTATATGAAAAATAGAAAGACATCTTGGGGTTATAGTGAGCATAAAAATAATTGATTAACACTGAGCAAGCTTTCTGTAGATGGTAGCAATATAGCAATCACTCTGTAGTTGCTACAGGCCAGGAGTGGTAGAGCTGGTCCTGCTGGAGATTGGCATGGGAAGGGAAAGATGGGCAAAGTCCTTTTATTTTTGGTACTGGGGATTGAACTTGGATCCTTGGGTCTGCACAGCAGGTGGCGAAACCACTGAGCTAAATCCCCAGTACCAAAGTCCTTTTTGTATATTTTTTGGGGGGAGTCGGGGTCTTGCTAAGTTGCCCAGGCTGGCCTTGAACTCCTGAACCTCCTGCCTCAACCTCCCATGTGCTGGGGTTTCAAGTATGTGCCATTATGCCTGACTGCAAAACTCTCTTGAGGTGACTGTGGTCTCCTCCTTATTCCCATGACTTTTCTTCCATCTAAGGATTGGGGCAGAGCCATGGTCAGTTAGAGGTTCCTCTGCCCTCACGACTTCCATTTTATGAGGCGGATCCAAAAGTTTATTTCTACTTTTTTGAGGCATCTGGGAAAATCTGTCACCCAGAATTCATCCTGTCAGAATTGACATGGCACTAGTGCTTCTGAACCATGTCAGTGTGTTAGTGCCCCTTGGCAAGCTGGAAGGAATGCCAACGCCAGAGCCTTCTTCAGGTACCCTGAGCCAGTGTCCCAAGGCGTGGGCCCAGGCAGCAGTTCCCCAGGTTCCCAGATGTGCGCCCCGGTTGAGAAGCACTGGACTACACCAGACCAGAGCAAACTACAGGGCAGAAGTTCCAGATGTCTTGTTTGCTCCTTTTGTCAAGGGGGAGGGCCGTTCACCCACCACATGTATTTTCAGCCATTATACAAATTAATCTTTAAAAAGTCCTGATGACTTTGCTTTCAAAGCAGGGTGCTGATGGCTGTATCTTTCCTTTTTGTATCCCTCGCAGCATTTAACCCAGAGCCTCTGTCCACCTGCTTTGCTCAATAAATATTTGCTTAGTGAATTGAAAAGCCAGTGAATTTAGAAGGAAGCTAACTCAGGTTCTGTTGTAGTTTATGTTTTATTGATCATTGCTTCTGTCCTAAAGTCCTTGAATAGTGAAGAAAATGTTACCTTTGGTTCACTTTGAGAATTACAGTCAATGCAGTTAGGCAGAACCATTCAAAGTTCAGAGGAAGCCAGTGGACCTCCCTTCAACCCTTGGATATTTTTCAGGTGTCTCTCCTAGGTACTCACACACGTCAGACATTCCTCGCCTTCATTTGACCTTGCTTTTAAGTGTTAGTTTTTTGTGCATGCTCTGCTTCCTCAACGAGGTTGTACAGTTTGATGAATGAGAGACATCCTCGTAGGTTTTTTGTTTGTTTTGATTTCTAGTATTGGAGATGGAATCCTTTTGCACTGAGCTATATCCCCAGTCCTCTTTTCATTTTGGGACAGGGTCTCACTAAGGTGCTAAGATCCTCAGGGTGGCCTCTTAGGTTTTATGTCTTCCCGCACAGCACTCAGGATGATGCTCTAAGACCCATGGGCACTCAGAAGTCTTTCTGACTCGGTGACTGCCTTGTACTCGTTTTCTCGGGTGAATATAAAACACTGGGCCATAGCTCCTCAGTCACCTCCCCAATGGCACTGGGAGGCATGGGGATGGGCAGCTAATGCTAACCTGGGGCAAGGGATGCAGACAGGGACAAAGCAAGCTTCACTTGTTCAGCTATCTCCAGCTCCCTGCTACTGCTCAGCCACTGGGAAGATTAAGCTGACACAGTCTCTGGCTCTACAGACTTAACCCTTTCATGGGAAGATAATCTGTTAGTTATAATTAAGTTCAAAAACATAATCTGACAACCAGGTGTGGTGGCATATGCTTGTAATCCCAGCTACTCAGTAAGCCAAGGCAGGAAGATCACAAATTCAAGGCCGACCTGGGCTACATAGAGAGACCCTGTCTTAAAACAAAAACTGCTGGGGATATAGTTTAGTAGAAGACTACCTGCCTAGTATGCACAGACCCCTGGGTGCAACCCCCAGTATGGAAAAAACAAAAATGTGCTTTGGGGCCTTCTACCCAATTTCTGTGCCATTGTATGATTTGGGCCTTCAGGCGAGCATTTTCTGTGGACTCATCGAGCTGACCAAAGATCCTTCTCTTCCATTTCACTCCACATGTCTTCTGGGTGTGCATTTTTATTTGCCTCTGTGTCCTAGAGCCTGGCACGATGCCTGGGATGGTAAACACTGGGGAATGACTATCGATTTGCATTTTTTGCTCAGCACTCTCAGAGGGGGAGTCTCTTGCCCAAAGCCCATCTCCCTTAGAGTGGTACTGAACTGGCAATTGGTAGTTAATTAAAAATTTTAAAATGCACAGCTCACTCTGTCCTAGGTATGCAGCTCAGCATGCACTTTTTTCTCAAAGAAAACATTTGAGTAACACGAGTAAAAGCAGAAAGACTAGTAGGGCTGTGTTGTGATGTAGCTTAGGTTTTAGAAATCTAGATATGCTTTCCTTCCTCTTGTGCATTTTTGCCCTGCCTGGAATTTGCGTCACAGATTGGCAGTTTCAGGTATTCTGGGCTTGGAGATGGCTTCTTGAAGTAGAGCTTCTCTTTTCCCAAGTGCTGTCGGCCCCCGGGTTGGGTTAACTCTGGCTGTGCTTTATTGCGTTTTCTTCTCTTGCAGCTCAATGTGGTCAACAGCGTCAGCAGTTCGGAGGACATCAAGCCTTTACCAGGACTCCCTGGGCTTGGCAACATGAGCTACCCGTCCACCAGTCCTGGGGCCCTGGTTAAACACATCTGTGCCATCTGTGGGGACAGATCCTCAGGTACAAGCAGGAGCAGGTGGTCCTTGCTGGGCCCGGTATTGCAGGGTCCCAGAGAAGGGCTGCTGTATGCTCCTCGGAGCACTTTGTACCCAGTAAAAGGAAAAATGTCCTTCAAGATGGTCCAGCTGGGGCCTCAGCCTGTGAGTTTCTGTCACTGGGTTCCTAGCCAGCACACTTTATACATCTAAAATATCTTCAAGGATTAGATTTATGGCAAATGGTTTCGAATCCCCTCTTTCTGGTTGGCTCCACTTCATGTATCTGGCATAGAGAAGCTGTAGTGATGAACAAATATCTTGCGCTAGATTGTTCTTATTTCTTAAAAATTATTTTTTATAATTATAAAATGCCCCAAATAAATAACTACAAAACCATATCCCAATATACAAAATTTGAAAAAACAGAAAAGGACGAAGGAAAAGTAAAAAATTATCCATAATGTCTCCAAGACAGACAAACCCTTTATTATTTTATCATATTTCCTTCACAGATTTCTAGATTTTTAACACATTTTTAGGGGTCCAAATAAGTGTGTTTTCACTGTATTTTACCTACTTCCATCTCCTTCTGTTTTTGCCAGTTTTCTTTCCTGACTTCTTTCGCTTCCTGTCCATCCTTCCTGTTTCCGTTGTCCTTTTTTTTTTTTTTTTGGTACCAGGGATCGAACTTGGGTCCTTGCGCTTGCACAGCAGGCAGCGAAACCACTGAGCTAAACCCCCGGCCCTCCGTTGTCCTTGAACACATTCAAGTCTCAGATTTGATGATTTGAAGGATGAGATGAGGACAGTTCTTTTCTCTAGCTGTCCATGACTGCTGGCTAAATAGTTCTTCATTCTCTTCTTATCACCAAAGCCACTACAGAATGCTACTCCATTGGAAGTTCTAGGTGCCTGGAACTTATTTAGCTACATGGCTGATATTTGCTTGCTGTGAAAAAGTCATTTCCAAACCACGCAGACTTGGCCATTGCCATCCATAGTGGAATGCTGGCCACAGACTGACAGAGCATTTTCTGTGCCTGGTTACTTTAGTTGGAAGTCTGGGTGGTTCCGTCATATATTGTATTGCAAAGCCATGGAATGACTATGTCACCCGTTGACAGATTGGCTCATGTTTTCAAAGGCAAGCGTTGCAGAGCTGTGAACTTTTGATTCTTTGAGCCCAAGATAAAACCCCATATTTATCACTGCTGTGAATTCATTAAATTAACATGGCCAATGAATCAGACACAGACTGGGTTTTTCTCAGGCGGGGGGTCTGGAGCTACCATTTCATTCTCTGACATGTAAGCTCTGGCATGCAGATATTTACACTTGCTAGTTCTCAGGGATTTCAAATTCATTTTTTTCCATTTAGTTTATTGGTACATTTTAGGTATACAAAACAGTTACATTCATCATTGGGATCTTGTACCTTTACATGATGTATCTTAGTTCTTATTTTTTCCCCATTCCCCTGCCCTCCCTTCACCCCCTCCACCCTTCCCTAATTACAAAGACTTTGCTTCCATGTTTTTCCTTTTCTCATATTTTTTTCTTTTCCCTTCTTTCCTTTCCCCTTCCCCAAATTCATTTTTATTATCAACCTAAATAAAACAGATTTATAAAGTCATCTCAGGTCTGTGCCTAGATGATATCACATTTTATTTTTAAGAATCAGATCTAGATATGTTTTGAATGATCTGGTTCTTGATATTTTTCACATTCCACAATTTCAATTAGCAGAGCACAGCTGTGTGTCTTATCGTGCTGAGAAGAACTCTACATAGAAAGTGTTTGGAGGTGGTTCATGAGGCTGTGCGGGTGTGCATGGTGGCCCTCCTGGCACCAAAGAGCCATTCTGCCTGGGGCCACTGCAGGTAATAGTGGCAAGGAAACCTGTAACCCGTTGATCCAGATCAAGTAAAACCACCTGCTCTCACACTTCCCTGTCATATTTCAAGATGGAATACTGAGTTACATTATAAAGATCACGTACCAGTTTATGTCATCAACAGGCAGTAAGAACTTAAAAAATCATAACTCAGGATTCTGTTCATAGTTCATAGAAAAGGATGATAATTCCCAGTGAGTTCCTTCAGACCTCGAGCCTCAGTTTTAGAGAACTGAAATTCTTTACCCACTACATAATATGACGCTTGATTACAAAAATACAGTGAATCTTTAAACTTAAAAAATGTATTACAGTGAAAGACACATCGCCATTAATCTCCCTGAGAATACCACCCTTCTCTTGAAACACACTTATCCCATCATTCTTGCCACTTTCTGAAGCAGTTCTGGAAGTCTTCTTTCATGTTTTGTTGCGCTGTCATGGCTGTCTCACTGTCCTGAATAGATTCGAAGCTTTCACCTGTCCTGATCGCTTTGACTGTAGGGAAGAGCCAGGAGTCACACAGTGTCAGATCTCAGGAGTAAGGCACATGCAGACACACTGTACCGTTTTTACAAGGCTGCCTCTCTGTCGGATGGCACTCAGCAACATCACTCACTGTAGTTTTGGTCACACCTGCTGAGGACACTCACAGAACAGGACTTCCAGAACTGCTCAGTAAGGTTGTTTAGAGAGAAAGGTAGTGTTTTCAGAGGAGTTAATGATGATGTGTCTTTTACTGTAATAAATTTTTAAAATTTACACATCCACCGTGTATGTTGATCACCTCTCATATGTGACAAGTAAACACCTTTTTATTTATTATGAAGACTAAAAGCTTGGATTGAGGCAGGACATCTGTTCAACCCAACCTAAGAGTTGCCATGGTAAAATAAATATAAACAAAGCCTTAGGTCAGGAGTTTGGTAATAATGCTGTCTGGAGTTACAGATGTCGCAGGAAGAGCAAGGGAAGGTGCTTTTACTCTTGTCGGTCCCTGGGATGGAACCTGCGTTCTCCGCTAGTCACCTTCTGCCTCCTGCCCAGGGCCCAGGCGCTGTGCCTGTTTGGGAATGAGGTTCTTCAGGGTGAAAGACCCAAAGCAACACAGAAACAGACCGATGGCATGTTCTTCTCTTGTCACCAGGAAAGCACTATGGGGTGTACAGTTGTGAAGGCTGCAAAGGGTTCTTCAAGAGGACCATAAGGAAAGACCTCATCTACACGTGCCGGGATAATAAAGACTGCCTCATCGACAAGCGCCAGCGCAACCGCTGCCAGTACTGCCGCTACCAGAAGTGCCTCGTCATGGGCATGAAGAGGGAAGGTGAGGCCCTGCCCTGACCCCTGCCATGCATGCTTGCATCTGAGTCACCGTGGGCTACAGGTGCCCAGGATAGGGGTCCGCTGCCCTGGACTGTGGGAGGGAGAGGTTGGCAGTGGGGAGGGGGAATTGAGGTGCCTTTGGGGCTGAGATTTCTTAAGCGAGCATGTTCCTCCTGCGCACCCACCCGACCTCCTGGAGCTGAGTGGTCCCACAGTGGCGCCTCCGCCTTCCTTCAGATACCAAGGGCTCAGTCGGAGGCTTCCTGACCCTTGTGCTCTGCTTGTCTGAGAGAGCATCAGGCTGACCTTCCCCGTGGAGCCAACTTTTCCTCTCTAGTCCTAGGCTCACTCAAGGAAAGCTGCAGGTTTGATTTCATAGCCACGGTCTGCTGTACATCTTTTGATGTTGGTTTATTCCACAGCCTTTGGGGATTCTTGGCATTACTGGGTTTGACAGGCTTTGCCTCCTCATTCAGAGCCTGTCCTTGTGCATTTAAAGGGTTACATCTTTTAATTTATAAGTATAGGTTCATGGACCATTGTAGTGTCAGAGGAAAGCAAATGTGAAAATGCTTTCTGTTCCTTTAAAAGATGGAAAAGTCATTTTGTTAAGCAACACAGATAAATTGCAGTGGGCCATTAATTAGCTCTCAGACTTGAGCTAACGTGACGTCTGTAGAGGTGACTCTTAATGGAGGAGAGGAGCGAAGTCCACCCTTCTCTTGAAGTAGGAGCAGGAGTTGAGTCCCAGACAGTCCTTGGTCCTCGGGCTTGAGGTTTCTTTCTGTGAGGAGTGGGAGGCTGACAGAAGGAACTGAAGGAGGGGAAGATCCTCGGGCCCGGGGAACAGGTCAAGAGAGGAGGCCACCGGGCCCTTTTCACAAAGCAGGGCCCATCCAGAGGGGCACGGTGCTTTCCAAGGTCCCCAGGTAGCTAGGAGAGGACACCGGGTCTCCCGTCCCCTGGCAGCCCCCCTGCCCTGCCAGGTGGGAGGGAATGACCAGAGTCCCAGGGCTGACCGAGCCATCTGCTCCTCAAAGTCTTCCCTCCCTTTCTCAGAAGCTCAGACCAAAAGCCTAGACCTCCTTGAGTTACGCACACCACTCGTAGTGGGCGATGGGGTCTCCTCTTGCCCTCAAAATGTATCCAGACTCTTGCCCTGTCTCACTATCTTCTGCCACCTCCCTAATCCTAATCCTAGGAGGCCTCCCTGCTTCCATCCTCATCTTTCCATGGTCTCTTCTGCGTGCAGCAGCCCGAGTGAGGCTTTGAACAGGGATGCTCAGGCCACTCGTCCACACAGATCCTTCAGCACTTCCCTTCTCCAGAAGAAAACAAAAGGCAGAGTCTTTGTTATGATTTCAAGGCTGTCTGTGGTCTGGATCTGTCCTCAGACTTCGCAGGGGTGCTTCCACCTCAGGCCCTTTGCACTTGCTGTTCTGGCTGCTAGGATGATTTCTTCTTGGGTGTCTGCATGGCTCACTTCAACTCTCCCATGGGATCTTTTATGGAACAGTCACCTTCTCATTAAGCCTTGCCTGGCTGTGCTCCCTAAAATCCTATGCATCACCCCAGCCCTTCCTTGTCTCTTTCCCACCGCATTCATCACCGCCTAACACACTTAAGGCGTCCTGTCTACTCTGTCTCCATGAAGACAGGGGTTCTGGCGGCTGTTTATGTTTTTCTTCACTGTTGTATCACTGTAAAGTGACCAGAACTTTATAGCCATGCAGTTGTTGAATGAATACGCTGTTCTGAAAGCAGGAGTTTTAGAAAGGTAGGCGCTCCTAAAAATGACTCTTTGCTGGGCATGGGGGCACACACCTGCAATCCCAGCACCCAAGTTTGAGTCCAGCCTGGATAACGGAGTGATTTAGTGAGACCCTGTCTCAAAATAAAACAGGGCTGAGGATGTAGCTCAGTGGGAAGGCCCTGAGTTTAATTCCCAGTCCTGCAAAAAACAACAGCAAAAAACTAAACAAACCCTTTTCGTTTATTCACTGAGTGTTGATTAAGTACCTGCTCTGCGTTCATGTCATACCTGCCATAGCAGAAGGACCAGTGGTCTCATACACCAAGCATGTGATATAAAACACCTGCTGGTGGAGACTTCTTCCCCCCATCTGGACAGAATGATATTCCACGTAGCTTTCTTACCACGCCTGCCAGGACAGGAGATTGACGACCACAAAGTGATGTGTTCCCCCACCAACAAGCAAGCAGTAGATGCAGGGATTGTAATTTTCTTCCCAATGCAGATGAAATACATTTCAGAGGGATTTGGAAAAATAACCGTTTTCATTAAGCACAGATACTAAATTAAAGGAAGGCAAATGGCTCCACTCAGAGAAGTTGTCATTTCTATTTCTTCACTGTTAATCTAATTCATTTCTCAAAACTCAAGCTGAGTATCCCCAGCTCAATAAGATCAGAGCAGACAGCGGGTCAAACGATGGAAAGTGTGGTTCTTTCTTTTATAAACAACTAAAACCGGGCCATGTGAGTTGTTAAGAGACCAGGCATGTAAACCTGTTATTGTTCTGACACTTTAGTAGGAAATTGGGCCTAAATTTTGTTCCTATGTTTTAAAGCAATGTGGCAAAACAGAGGTAATTAAACACTGAGTAGTGAAAACTAGGAGAAGGGAAGGGATGTTTGAAAAATGTTCTATAGGAGTCGGCACCATTGATCTGGACAAAGAGAAGTCGAAGAACTGACTCAGTTCCTCATCTTACTCCATGAGTAGCGACTTTCGGAAGCCCCTGGACAGCCTTTCTTTCTCCCCATCATTTCTGTTCTGGATTTGTAGCCCATGGGCTCAGTTTGGACACCTTCTTGTGCACAGAAATAGTAAAATTCTGGCATGTGTAACCGAGAGAGACTATGGAATCTTCCCAGAGAGAAAGAGGCAGGACTGAGGTGGACTCAGAACTCGCCCGCCTGACCCTTTTAGGACACGGAATGTTAAAGCTGGAGTGGCCTTTGCTCTTCTGCGCGGCAGCATAACCATTTCCAGAAAGAGGAAACAGAGGTGCAGAGAGGTAGGGGTTCTACCAAAGCTTCCACAGCAAGATGACAGAGTTTGGGCAGGACTGGGACCCTCTGACTCCCAGGCCACCTCAGGAATTCTGGGGAAGCTATTTCCATGACTTCTGGTCTAACATGTAGAGAATGGACTATTTTTTTTATTGGCATTTATTAATTTTTACAAAGTATTGGGTTTCAATGTGGTGTTTTCTTATGTGCATATAACATATTTTGATCATATCCACCCCCCCATTACCTTCCCTTCCATCCCTCTTTCCCCCAGTCTAATAATAATAGTCTCCCTCCTACTTTCATGGCATACTGGGGAGAACATGAAACACTTGTTTTTCTGAGTCTGACTTTTTTCACTTAACATAATCCCCAGTTTTATCCATTTTCCTGCAAATGACATAATTTCACTCTTCTTTATGGCTGAATAATATTCTGCGTCTGAGGCCATTTGTAGGCAGCCCTGGCCTCCTTGTGTACCCTGGGTTGTCTTTATGAGTGCAGCCAGCCCAGTGCCCAGGAGGCAGGGCAGAGGTTTAGAGATGGGCTCCAGAGGTAGAGGGTCTGGGTCTGAAGGGCAGCACTGTCACTTCTTAGGTCTTGACTGCAGAGGGCTACCTGGCTTCTCCGTGGCTCATGGTACCCCAGAGGGTCACTGTGAAGATTAAATGAAACATAAGCTCTATGAAATATCGAGCATTATTCTTAGATCATCCAGTGTCCCAAAAGTGCCCTGATGTACATGGTAGCCACAGCTCAGAATGTCTGCCTCCAGTAAGAGACAGAAGGCTATGCAATTATGACAGTAAGATTTATAGGACAAAAAGGAAAACTGAGTGGCACATGGTCACTCCATTTAAATCAGAATTAGAATCTGATTCCCTGAAGGCATGGTTATTTTCTTTGAAGCTTATTTACCTAGAGTGTTACAATCTGTGGAAGAAACTGAGGATCACAAGAGAGACTTCATTTAGTTTGTTTCCCCCATATTTTAAAATCAAACCAACAGGGCCCAGGGATTTAGCTCAGTGGTTCCGCCGCCTGGCCTGCAAGCGCAAGGACCTGAGTTCGATCCCTGGTACCAAAAAAAAAAAAAAAAAAAGTAAAACCAATAGAAACGATTAAATAACTGCTCTAAAAAATGAATACAAGAAGTTTTCAACTTCAGCCAATAAATCTAACTATGAGAACAATACATATTATAGTTCCTATAGATTGTTACTGAAT